AACTCAATAACGAAACTATAAATAAGTAAGTAATCAAATTTTTGATTACTAGACATTTGAGCAAACTATTTTCATTCGGACATAATTTGAAATAGTTGGCACAGTCAATTGAGAATGAAAAATTATTCACTATGAATTTGTTAATTGTTGACAGTCAGTTAGTGCGTGAGTGAGTGAACATGATGGACTTTTTTTTGGATTGTCACAGATAAGTTATTTGTAAAAGAATAACAGTCTGACATACTATACACATTCTCCAAGTACAAACAATTGGTTTCAATACTTATGAAGTAATCAGCCTTGTTGTATTCAACAAATGAGATTATTGTAAATTATTCATTTTCACAAAGTAATGTTGTCATAATTCTCTCTTTATTATTATTATTATTATTATCCAGCTATTATTCCCTAATGTTTAGTACTCTTGGATACCAATTCACTTGAGATGTTCTCCCAAGAATCAGAACAAACACCGTTGAACAGGAAATACAGATTATATTCCAATCACAAGGTTAGAAAGGAAGACAGGTCTCAAGAGAAAAAAAGACGTTAGTATATTATAGTATTCCCACACATGAGATTATAAAATCCTCGCTCAGCGTTGATTGGATAGAGAAAGAGCCAATCAGAGTGCAGCAACGCAATCATGCTTTGATCCAATATCTATGTACAAACTAACAAACATCTTATGAAGAATTATGTTTTCCAATTTTGAATAGTTTTCGACTATACACACACCGCAATCAAATCATTCAATTTTTCGGTGATAAATGTATGCGATTTCATTAATCAAATTGAATGTAGGGAGGAATACACAGAACTATTCACTAAATAACAAAATGAATTTATTCAACATCACATTTTATTTATATTAATAATATTCAGTAGATATTGTCAAATGAAATGCAAAGAGCTTTCGTTAGTTGAAGTATAGGGGTGAGGGTTGTTGGAGATATTATAGATCCCCAGAACTCACTTGATAGAAATTCGGATTTCGTATGTAATTCATGGGCTGATCAGTTGACCTTGAGGTCACATTTCTTTCCCGGAAAATCTTTCACTGTCATTTGTTGATGGGTTATTTTAGTAGGCTACTTTTGTGGTTGTCCCAAGGACGTTTCTATGATATGTAAATGAACTCGATTTGTGTGCTTTTCAACATCATATTTTCTGGGTGATTGTAGAATACACTTTCTACTCCATATCAAGCCTTCTCTCTCTTCATTTAGTTAGAAAGGCCAGAGACAACCAAATCAGAATAGCCTATCGTGTCACTGTATCAATTGTCCTTGCTCTCATTTATCGACTAAGGTGAGCTCGTAATAGTTTCAAGCATATCAATTGATGAGCCTAACAGGGGTCAATGTAAACAATTTTTCCCGGTTTCTACTTCGGGACTATGTACCTCATATACAGAATAAAAACTCAGAGCCTGCAATAATCAGGCAGTTTTCAAACCAATGATGTTTTACACACACACACACACACACACACAGACATTTGTGAAGTCGATAGATGCAATCATACATCAACATAGTAACAAAACAAAAAAGGTACCTGCCAATATCAGAACAAACAGTATCTAATTCAAATGACCAAAATGCATCCAATTCTTTTAAGGTTAATTCCATTTTCCCATTAGTAGTCATAGAGAATAATCGTTCAATTATAGTTTGTATACTATCCGTGGACAGATTAGATTGATCCAATCTGATTCGCATTCTCCATAATTGGGCACCATAAGCAATATAAATCAAATATTGTATTAATGGTTTCGATTGATCTAATACAAAAATTTGTGTAGCAATATCAGATATTGCAAATCTTGGTTTTTCCGCTGAACAATACACATGGGCTAAAGGTTTGCATTGTAAATAATCATTATGTATCATATCTACAACAGGTGACCGATATTCTGTATTCAACGTGTCGGATGTTGTCACTGACCAAAACATTACACTTCCATCAATACAACCCGATATACAAATACTGTAGTGGCTTGTAATTTTCAATTGATTCAAACATGTGATCGGTCCAAAATGTTGATTTGGATGATCTGTATTATAATAACACATTAGAAAAAAAACAACCAAAAAAAATTAGGTGAATGTGCTTTTAAAAAACTTAATTATGCGGACAATTTTTTTAATTTTTATGTGCGTATTTTACAGATTTGAAGTTGTCACATTATGAATTGACTATGATTGGTCAATTACCTACTTACTTACTGTCGTAACGCTTGCTTAGATAATACCCGGCTAAATCCTATTGCTTAGTATTCGCTGACCACAATACACTGGACAAGTTCCCAAGAATCAAAAAACACGGTTGAACAGGGGAAGATTATATTCCAAATAGAAAAGGTTAAATGGAGTAAGAGCCGAAGGCGAAGGCAAAGAAGGCAAAAATAGATACAACGTTAGTCTATTTATAGCATTTACATGAGAAGCTTCTGGATAGAAATTCACGTGATCAACTGGATTAGATTTAACCAATCAGCACGCAGCTAACAATACGAGAATTTTCTACCCTGTTCTCCAATATTCGGTCAGGCGCTGATTGGATAGGAAATTAGCCAATCAGCGCGTAGCAACGTAATCGTGCTTTAATTCCATCTATGTCCCACTAACACTTAGTTGCTCACTTTAATTACCCTCGTCAATGCTCGTGTACATCAGGCTACCCCTCTGTTTATCGATAATGCTATCATGATATGTGAGAGTTTCCACATCTTCCAAAGCATCTCCGTCAAGTGTGTGATTTTGTTGGTGAATGTTTTGTTGTATCTATAAGGAACTGATTTGTTTCCTTGTATATGTCGACGCACACTGAAAGTGGCTTTCTAACCAGAAAACGCCTTATAGTAAACAATTAGAATTATGGAGAATAATGTTTTTACACATTGAAACCTGGAAGCACTGGACAGCCGTCTCTTCCTGCAGTGCGCATCCACGACTCCTGAACCTCGCAGGATTCGAACCCAGGACCTACTGACTCGCATGCCAACAAGGCATAACAAGAGTTAGACGTCATCAGTACAAATTTCATTAAAAACCACTAATTCTGCATTGAATCAAACGATGAAGTACTACTATTTTTTGATTTTATGAACACATAAATAGGAATCTATCCTTTGAATTTTCTACCGACTATTATTACAATACAGTCACAAAAACTCAAGCATTAATATAGTGTATGAATAAAAAACAGAACTTTATGATGATAAACAGAAAATATACAAATTTTGTTTGTTTGTTTCGTTACATCAAATTAGTTAAGTTGCTTAGAAATTTACATTTTCAAGTGAAATTCCCCAGGCAGACGCAATGTCGCACCGTGTACAAATTCTGCGGCGGAACATTGAATATCTGCCTCGTTTAAACTCGTTCTGATATCTAGAAGGATAAGCGGTAAGGTTTCATACTAATTGTTGTGTTTCGTGTGCTCGAAGATCACTTTTAAGTTGGCGATGAAACCATTCAACTAAGCCATTTGAAGCTGGGTGGTAGGCGGTAGTGAGTAAGCGCTCTGTAACCAAGCAGCCGGGTTAGCGAGGAGAATAGTTCGGACTCAAACGGTTGTTCTCGGTCAGTTGTAACAGATAATCGTAAAGCGCTATTCATCGTTCTACGAAGCGGTGAGCAACTGTTTCCACCGTGATAGAACTGATGGGTCAGGATGGGCGAGAAGTGTGATTTCAGCGAAAGCTTTTCTTTTTATCCCTAAACATACAGTATGCGCGGCATCGTTCAATTTTAATTTACATGAATTACTGCGAAGTTAATCAGTTAATGGTCGTGACTGTTCTGCTGCGTGAGGAATAAAACGTCGGTAGAAGTTGACCGAACCAAGAAAAGCCTTTAGTTCCTTGAATGAGGACAGTAGTACAGTGTACTCTATGATTGTAAACATGTACAAACTGACAAACTTATCCAAGATGGAAGAAATTCAATAAAATTGAAAAAGAAAAGAAAAGAAAAATGATAGAGAACAAAAAATGATCACTTACAATTTAATTGATTCTTTTTCGGCGGTATACTCCAAAGACGAATATCACAAGTGATATCATTTATACTTAGACCAGATGCACTAGCAATGATACAATCTTCATCATTATTAGTTGTACATGCAGTGGTCAACAATGCACATGGCGTATATCCGGAATGTCCTTTCAATGTACCACGATATTGCAAAATATTTGGTGCAAATATTCGATAAGAGAAATTTCCAGTCATTTGTGATGATAGATTAAATGATTGAAAAATACCATAAAATAAACGATTCGTTGCATCATATGATGTTTCACGATGAACTATGTAACCTTTTTTGCATGAATTCAATAAATGAAATTGTTCATCTTTTAAATAATTAATAGCAAGTGTATATCGTTCATGGATAGCATCGTCTTTTTCGTCCATGCCATCATGTAATTTGTAACCGCATTCATAAATCTCTTGTTCAGAACCAGTTACATAACTAGCACTACTTGATAAGCATTCACCACTAATTGTAGTAATATCAGAATCTGGATCTTTCTTGTCATAATTCAAATCATCATCATCATCATCATGTTGATTATCAGCAATATTGTATACCATTAATTTCTCTATTGTTTCAACAGTTGGATTGTAGAGTTTATGTTCAACTAAAAATTAACATTTGATAAATAAATATATATTGACAATATGAAGGAGAGAAATTAATAATTTTGTAAATGCCAAGACGTAAATTCAATTAATTTGTTTTTTTTTACATTCATAACTAATGTAGAATTTTTTTTTTTAAGATGTGTAAGATTAAAGACAATCAGTTATGAATTAAAATTATGGCGTTTGCGAGATATCCATTTGTCAGTCAGTCAGTCAATCAGATGCAACGTAGAACTTCGTACGTAAGTACATCATCAGTTCATGTTGCCATACCACATCAGCATAGAGATGTAATTGTCAATTCAAATCCAATAGTAGTAGAGGTAGTAAACGTATTAGAAGTAATCGGAGAGGTTAGGATTAGAAGATATTATTATTCAACAAGTATGATTCAGTGAGAAAAGTTTAGAAAGTCAAAACTTGAGGTGTTGAAGAATCCAGAAGATTAGGATTTGTTTGAGAGAACACAAAGAATAAATGCACCGGCGCCATTGCGAACGATTTTGAGCCATGTCATTCAGGGTCTCTAACCATCGATTATTATCATCTCGCGGACCCCAACCAGGTAGTCGACAATTACCGACATGGCTAAGTCCACTCGTCAATGACTTCACGGATTTCTGCCATGTTTTGGTTTGGCCACCCCTAACTTTCTTCCAACCTATTCCTACACTACAAAACAAAGCTCGACGAGGCAGTCGGTGGTTGGGCATACGCAACACGTGTCCCAACCACCTCAACTGATGAAGTGTCACTACTGAGTCTATTGATGTGCCATTCTCGCCTATCACCCGATTCCTAATAACAGCGTTGCTCACTCGGGTGTCCCAGAATATACGAGTAATGCTTCTTAAACATATATGATCGAAAACCAGTAACCTACGAATATCTTCTACTCTCACTGGCCATGTTTCACAGCCATAAACATGTGATATTCGTAGGTTACTGGTTTTCGATCATAGGTGTCCATTTGGCTAACCTAAGGGCGAGTCTACTGAGCAGTAGTAGTTCACTTCGTCCTGCTATATGCATGAGAAACATGGCCGGTAAGAGTAGAAGATATTAGTAGGTTTCTGGTTTACGATCATAGCTGGCTACAAAAGCATTGCTGGTGTATCGTGGGACAACCGAGTAAGCCATGCTGTTGTTATGAAACGAGCACTAGGTAAGGATGGCAGATCAATAGATAAAATAGTGAAACTTCGTCAGCTGAGGTGGTTGGAACATGTGTTACGTATACCAAACCATCGACTGACTCGTCAAGGTGGCCAGGCCGGAACGTGACAGAAATGCATGAAGTAACTGACAACTCAACTGAGCCATGTCGGTAGGTATCCACTACCTGGTTGGGGTCAGTGAGATGATAGTATTAGATGGTTAGAAACCCTGAATGTCACGACTCAAAATCGTTTGCAATGGCACAAGTGCATTCATTCTTCGTGTTCTTTCAAATCTTAACCTTCGGAGTTCCTCATCACCTTTATCTTTTTCAATTTATTTGACTAGATTCTACTTCTTCAATAATATTGTCGAACTCTAACCTATCCGATTACTTCTAATACTTTTACTAACTCTACTATTATGGGATTTGATTTGACATTTGTGTCTCTGTGCTAATGTGGTATGGGAACATGAACTGATGTACATACGTACGAAGTTCTATGTGTTATTGACTGAATTATGAGTAGAAAAAAAAACCGTGTACCCACAACTATCATTTGGAGTGTGCTGTTTAGTGCAAAACATGAACACCAATCAAGTAAGTCATGTGCTTGAACACTATACTCGATAAATGATATCATCGTAACGATTAAAATGTGAATATGGACATTGACTAACTTTAGTTCAGATATTGTAGTGAAATAATGCAGGATTCAAAACACGAATACACTGATCATGTAACCAACTATGAAGTGATTAGGTTTTGAGATTAGTTATTTTATGGTATTGTTCGAGACGTTAGATCTCAGCATGCGCTAATCAGTTAACCCTGAGATTTCATTTCCCACCAGGAAAATCCTTGGCTGTGATTCAATGCTGTGTATTTTAGTGTGCTATTCTTGTGACTGTCCCAAGGACGTTTCTATGATGCATAAATAAACGAGATTTGTGTGCTTGATTGTATTGTGCTTGCTGGGTGTTTGTAGAATACACTTTCTACGCTACATCAAGACTTTTCATTAGTCAGTAGATCAGGGTAGTTTATCTGGACGCTGGTAATTGTCTCGTTCGCGTTTATCGACTAACGTGAACTCGTAATAGCTTCAAGCGTACCTAGTGACGAACCTAACAGGAATAGACTAATTATTGACTTTTTCAAACTGACTCTCCAGAGATTTGAGCCTTATTCTAAGTGTAAACGTTAACACCACTATTCGGTTCTTCAGATAGAAAAAGGTGGAACAGGGCTCGAACATCGTACTTAACGGTTGAAAGTCTGATAACGGACAATAATGATAGAGGAATTCACATTTAATCACTATTTCTCATATAAAACATACTATGAAATTTTTGAAGATGAAACAGAAGGTAAACAGTAAATCTAGAACAACTTACAATTCAAAAGATCATTACCAGAATAGAAACTGAAAAAGCCAGTCACATTTAAAGATTTTTCAAAGGTACCACTACTACGATTATCACTATTATTCGTCGTTGTCGGTATATCTGTACAGACGTTGAGACGATGAAGCAAATTTAAAACGCCATGTTTATCATGCTTCCAAACACTAATTTCACCGTTATCCGAAGCAGCTAACAAAAGGCTTGACTTAGTGATTAGAAAGAAAAGACAATCAAATTTAATGTTTAGGATAGTAGATATAGATATACTTGGAAGATGAAATAATAACAACTAAAATGAAAACATTATCCTGCCAGAGTTTCATTCTTTCAGAGTTGGTTGGAGAAAACTGGTGAGCGTCCTATGCTCCATTGGGGGTAACAGGCGTAAGTAAGTAAGTAAGTAAGAGTTTTATTCTTTGAACTGGATCTTTTGGATGTGGAGCTTTCATTGTTGTTCTTCTGAACAACATCATCAACATAAACATCAGATAGAATTGAAGTATTTGAATTTTTCCACTAATGACTAGTAGCCAGTCCTGTTGACCACGATCTTAGTTCGTGGTACTCGAAGCGTTGGATACGGGTTTGTATTGCCTCCAAATATATTCCAGTTCGCTTACATTTAATTTGGTTAAGCCCTTTCGATTAATTTATTTAACCAAGCCATTGGCGTAGCAACAACTTATATGTACCATTCGTTCTTATTATTGTCTGGTTTGTATGAGCTCACATGACATGTTCCACTTGTCATTTGACCTTGTCAACTATTCGTCACTTTTATTGATGTGTGTGCACGCCTATCTCGTTGATCACATGTCTGTCTTATTTTTGTCTGACTATAAATTCTTAATCATGCTCTATTTCTTTGAGTTGGCTCATTAGCCTTCTCCAATAAACGTCGTTTCGTACCCTTTGTTCGCTGCTTTTCAACTTCTCTTTGTGGTATGTCCAAAAATAAACGTATTCATTACTTCGAATTCATCTTCTGATTTATAAAACCGTCAGACGCTATTTAGTAACGGTTGTTTAGACGAGCTAATTACCGAGCTTTATTTAGAACACGCAGATATTTGGCCACCACAGGTTTACTGGCCTAGAGGCTAAGCGTCCGCACGCGAGACTGAAGGTCCTACGTTTGGGTACGCTGGGTAGTAGTCGATTAGCATCGCCAATGATTAGTCCTATACTAGGATCCAAACAGCCATCTAGTGCTTCCAGGTTTATAATGCTGGTCTAAAAATGATTGATTCATGATTTAAATGAAACATAGTTCAAATATTTCCTTAAAATGAATCATAATATCTTTCATTTACGGTTAGTAGATTAAATGTAATGGTTTACAAATAATATCTGTAAATATTATAATCATTTTTGTATAATAAAGTTCAATCAATGCAACGATACTTTATTATGAAGTCAAACAATGGAGGAGAGTTGTTGGTCAATTCCTATTGATTGATTCCTACTGGTCAATTTTATGGTCGTCCTAGCCATCACTATCACGTACTCCAATGTTGTTTCTTATTGATCGTCATAAATGTCAATGTCACGTAATTCAATGTTGTTTCTTATACGACCTAATTGTATAAATACACAATATCTGTAATGTTTTATGACCCAGATCCCTAGTCCGGGATCCTTGCCTTCTTCTGGACATGGACCTCGTATTTTCTGGATACTAGTTGAATACATATTCCACTTCATTCATATCAAGTATTCGTCTTTCACTCGACAAGGGTTGAGACAGTCGGATTATAGAATAGCATGTCGTTTCGTCGACCATAAAAAAATCGTAACAGTTTTAAGCATATCAGAAATGACATGTCTGCGTACATGCATAACAACAAAAACTTACAACACGTTCCATAAATTTTATTGGAGATTTATTTGCATTCAGTGTTTGTTTCAATTGGAATTTTTTATCAATCACAGTGTAATGATGCAAAAAATTCTGTTGATCACCAATATACACTGATATACTGATTGTTTTCACACCAATAAACATACGTAATAAAAATAAAGAAGTGATTATCGCTGTGCCACCAACATCATTGATTAAATGCCATAAGGTAACAGTACGTTCTGATGAATCAAATTTATACAATGCTAATTGCTATGATTGGGTAAAAAAAAAGAGTATACAATTTAGGGAAAGAAAAAAGAAAATATCATCAAATGACTAGAATGAGAAAAAGCCATTTTAAAGGGTGTTCGGGAATGTTAGATGCCCAGAACTCACATTTGGGAAACGTCCTAATTTTGTAATTTTTTTGTGTTTTCGCAACAGTTGATATTTTAGCTTACATTTCTCATTCGGAAAATCCTTGAATGTCATTGGCTGATGAATTATTTTAATACGCTATTTAGTGGTTCTCCCAAGGGCGTTTCTATCATTATATAAATAAACTGGAGTTGTGTGCTTAGACACCTCGTATTTTCTGGATGCTTGTAGAATACTTTCTCTATGCCTTATCAAGACTTCTTGATCTAGTAAGTGGGCCCTTAGGCAATCGGATTGTTGATCTTCATTCTGTTTACCGAGTAAGATGAACTCAAAATGGTTTCGAGCATATCAATACAAAATATAATAAAAAAAATTTTGGATAGTAGACTTATATTTTATCCAACTAGAGATGTGGTAACTGCATACAGTTAGTCATTCATGTTGTTATTTCAAATTGAGGCTAGATGATCGTTTTGTGATGTCGGAGTAGGTTGAAAGAAAGCTAGGGGCGACCAAACATAAACTTGGCACAAATCCATGAAGTCACTGACACTACTCAATATAAATCATGTTGGTAAGTGTCGACTACCTGTTTGAAGTCCATGA